AAACATTCCAGCTTCTCACGCATGTCATGTGACTGCCCTCACCCCCAACACCCCTGAATTGGCTACACTCCCCCTGGCTCACGAATTTCCTGTTGCCGCACGGCCGCGCGCGGCGACTGGTCCCCCCCCGCCGGCTGCCGAGGCACATTGCGCTCAAAAAGAACCATTTCTCAGCGCAGATTAGCCAATTCAGGATAATGTTTAACCGCACCACAAAAGCAGAGTGCTGATGTAAAACCGCATGTTGACTTTGCGGTAAGAAATTAGCAGCAAGCCCAACAAAACATACCTCATGAGAGTAACCCTTTTCTCTGAATGAATTTTCAGCCCCACTAACAAAACCCAAGGCTAGGACAACCAGATATTTGTAGGCACTCATTAGAAACCTATGCAGAACATCGTCGGCAGGCCGATCGGCGGCAACAGCCCATCACGTTTTTTCGACGACGCTCAAACACCGTTTTATACGCAATTGCGTATGAAATCAAGTTTGTCATTACGACAAACCAGTTCCCGCCATCTTCAACATTCTTTGCTTCGACGTCTCTCGTACTTGTTGAAGTAGGCTTAGAATGCTTCAATCTTGCTGGACTTCAAGTAGAATTCTCTCTTTTTCTTGAGTATTCGAGAAAGTCCTATTTTCTAACGCTGTCTTTTTGTATCGAGGAATTTCCTTGATGCCGCTCTAATTGCATTGCAGTCCCGATAGGATTTCAACAGTTTCAAATGTTTCTTCTGCTTCAGTACGATATTACAACCACAAAGTGCAAAAACATTTCTGCTGAAGTTTCAACTGTGAGAGTTATTCAAAGTTTCGAACGTTATTCGACATTCACCATAAAGCCGGTACCATTTGACGCCAGCTCGGTGGCACAAAATCCTTCGCTTCTTCTCGATAAGAGAAATTGTGGTGCCAACGCCGCAATCAATTTCTTTACCGGACCATTGAAAACCAGTGAACTCGAAGTTACAGCGAGCTTGATGAAGGGGAATTATGGTTGACAGCGGCTCCAGAATTAAATTTTCTTTCGTAAATGCACTAGTACCTAGTACCCCAGACGGATATATACCACAGATATACCCCCAGACGCCCGTACAATAGGACCAAAATGGATCGAGATTTTGTCTGAAACTTGCACTTGTAGAGGCAGTTCAACACAATGGTCAGGAGTGTGACATCGTTTTTGACGAAGGCGTCATTTGGTGCCGGTTTGGCACAGATTTTGCTCCAAATTACGACACGTTGGCGTCAGATGGTGGGATCATGCCCAAAATAAGCCTAACCATAATTGTTTACCGAAGACAATTGAAAAAGGTGTGGCAATCAATGAATCATTTAATCTTTATTACATGAATTTCATGTAATATAGAAAAATAAAGAAAAATCTCAATAAAAGCAGAAACAAAACACCAAGGCAGATTTTGTTATGCAGAGTGTAGATAGAGCCCTAACAATCCTTTGAAACCCGCTAGAGATCCAGACACTGTTTTTTTGGCTCATTTGAAAAACCACAGATACCAAATAGTTGCCGCACACTGGCGCCAAATGACGCCAACGTCAAAAAGAATGTCATATTCGTGACCAGTTACTTGTTGTTTTATACGAATAAAGCGCGTCAGGCGAACATTTCTAGACAGAATGTGGGGAACTCGTTTTGGGTTATAATAGCGCAATAGTACCGAAATTTCTCAACCATGATCATCGGATTAATTTTTGAAAATGAAGCTCCGACGAACAAGTGAGCTTTATGGTTGCATTGGTGGAGATGGAGTAGTAATCACCAGAAGAAAATAAGCGTAGTGACACTTCTATTACCTCAAGTGAGTCAAATAACGAGTAGACGCACTGCAATTTTTTCCGCGTGGTCTGGTTCATATGTGTTTATCTGAACGTTCCAGTGTACGAAGCAAATCAATCAGCTTGTACTAATCCTGTTTTGCAGACACACTGACTCTGCCGATCGATATGTATCCAATTCTTATCGCGGATCCTTCGTTTCCAGTTCGGTGCTGGATGGGAACGCAGCCTTCCAACTTGTTCTTTGCAGTGGGAGTCAGTGGGAATACTTAGTCCTTGTTGCTTGCCGCGTTGTGCGCAAGCATTACCTTGACCCGCGCACATCATCGAGATTGTCCGTCTTGGGGTGGACCCGCCACCTCTTGTTTCGCTCGTTGCTCACCTCAATTATTTTTCCTTGAGAATATGTTGACCTGTTATGCCCATCTTTCCAAGAGGTTACACAAGGGAACCACCCAAAGACAAGTGCCTCGATTTCCAAGAATTTTCACTTTGAGCCCAATATGCTGACACTTTCATATTATCTTCATTTATTTGATCGCAAAACGATGTTGCTCTACTTCAGTTTTCGGGAGAAAAACCGTGAGGCTTTTTGTGTCGTGAATGCCTGTCGACTTAGATGGCAAAGCGGACTAGTTCGTGCATAACATTTTAAGAGAATTAGTTTTGATAGCGAAATTCTCTATTGATTCCTCTTTTTGAAGTGAGGCAAACACATCGTTTTCTGAGATTACCATAATCGTGAATTACAAGTACTTAGGTATACTTGATTGATTACGGTATAGTGCAGTATACTGTAATAAATTGAGTATATGGTAAGAAGAATTCGTAACCATACTTGTTTCATACTTGTACGCCGATTCAGGTAAATGTGATGTGAAGTGCATACGAGTAAATTTTGGGAACTTTGCTGTTTCTTCCCAAACGGCTGTCCCTTGCTGCATAATCTCCTTTCTTTGGTGCAGGAGTTTTCTTCCGATGTCTGCGCGCCAGCATCTCTCCTCATTGGGTTTCCCGTAGTGGCCGTCTGACCGGTTATGAGATTGCAGTTCGCCGACGTGGCGCTCCTTGAAAGTTTCACTATTCCGTTCTTCCACGCCCTATCCATCCCAAACTACCATCGCCTGCTCTCTTACGCCCACTACTGTTTGGCTACTGCTTTAGCGTGCAGTTATGTCGTTCGATCTTCTTCGCAATATATGACTTCCCCTTAACTGCTGCTGCTGCGTGTGCGGGAGCGAGTTCGACGACGACGACAGCGGCGATCTCCACCCCCTCGTAGTTCCGTCCCAATGGCCCATTTTCGTTAGTTCCCGATCACATTCTTGTCGAGTCACTCTCTCATATCACCTAATCCCTTTGAAATGCATCACTTCATGATGTCGATATGTTGATTGCTGTAATAATCCGTTACAAAAACTTAAAATGATTCTTTTCATTGAAGCCGTTCTCTTCTCTTTTTCCTTCTCACCTTGAGTTGTGAATATAAGGCCGAATGCCACTTCCATTTCCTTGTGTGTTACTCGAAAATTCGTATCCATAAGGTGCACGCTGTTCTCAGTGGAACCAGACAGTAAAAAACGATTGCCGCCTTTTTACGTCTCGAATCTCATTACACTCTCTGCCTAGGTATGATTGGCCTGACGCAAGTGCTGGCTATCCTAGCTTTGGCTAGTCTCTCGTTGGCTGTAAAGACGTCCAGCCAGCTCATTTCGCTTCATGAGGAAAACTGGATGGACATAATGAAAGGCGAATGGATGGTTGAATTGTAAGTGTTTTTTGTACAAACCCATTCCCTTACGTGCAAAGGTCTTTGGGAAAGTTCAGACTAGTCTTGGAACACTTTGAAACGAAGTGAACGAAATCTCATCCGTAACTAGTGCTAATATTGTCGCATTTTTTCGGTTACGCGATAGTTTGCTTCGGTTAGTTCGCCTCCCTTTAGACTGTGAGAGATGAGCAGTCGTTGAAACGGGGTCACTAGGATGTGCGCTGCAGTTTTTTCCGTCTTGTTTTCATCGATTCGCTGTTCGCACGCTTTCAAATCGCAAATCATGCGATTGAAACCGGAATCAAATTTGTATGTTGAAGGAATGCTCGAAATGGTACCTAAATATGCAATTCAATTTAGCTTTGTCGCAAGCTTCTATTGTTGCATTCATTATAGCTCCATCGCAGGTCGTGGTCTTGCGTGGCATTGCAAAAGTATTGAACAGCAATCGAATCTGGGAGGTGTAGGATAGGTTGACCTTCAGTATCTTGCGGTAAAACAGGCAGCAGATAGCAGGCAGCCTAAGATAGTGTGGGTCCAGAATCGTTTAAGCGCATCAGTTCGCAGTAGCGGAATGTCTTTTTTCCTAGCTCGGCTCTACCTTTCATTGAGCTAGACTGATAGGGCAGCAATGCTAAATGAATTGTGTATTATTGTCAGGTAGTTAGTAGGTCAAAATAAGCCCGTAGAGCTCACAGAAATCGTTAAACTGGACCTTTTCAAACAATTCAAATTTCCAAGGCAGTTGCAATCTTTCTAAACGATCGCTGTTATGAATGAAATTCTTGCATAAAATTGAATTCATGAGTTGATTGTCGATCAATCCTCATGGGACCCTTTCAACTATAATAGCTAAGGCATTTGAATTCATATTCTGGTCAATGTCAGAAGTTGGTTTATGTTCCTCTGCTAGGATAATGAGTCAGTATTGCATTGTAAACAGTCTATTTATTATGCATGTAATGTCGTCCTTCTGTGTTGAACGACCTCCGAATTTCTACAAAGTGCATATTTTAAATGTTTCATGCTAGTTCAGAAACCATTTGGAAATGGTGTCACATCTGCTGTTGCAGTTGCTTTTTCCATTACATGTCCGAATGTTTGCTCAGTACCAGTTTTACGAGTTCACCTTTACAATGAAACTAGAATACGTTATTTGTGGCAGAGATGACTCCTATTGGGATCAGCATCCGGTATTCAATAGCAGTGGACGTGTGGGTAAAGGACGAGAATTCGGGATAAATCAGCCCTTTTTGGGATGCGCCACACATTTCACTTTCATTCAGAACAGTAGTAACAGTTGAATGCGAGTGCTATACAGTAACGAGCGGGAGTTAGCTGATTTATAAATCAGTGATTTTATCCACTCACACAATTCTGGTTCTATTTAATCGAACCAAGAGTGATGGGTAGCTTGGTTAGCTCTGGACGGTGTAAAATCCAAGTTTGAACTCTGGACCGTGTGCATAGTAAGCAGCGCCACTTGCCGCTAAATCACTTCCGCCCCAATAAAAATGTACGCTCAATCAATTTCTTAAGGATTTCGAGATACTGTAGTCTCAGTAAGATCACAATTCTCATTCATGTCCAAGAGGGAAGGCCCAAGAAGTGCAATGAATAGGCCCCCACAGCACTACATATGCAAGAAATATGTGGAACACAGACGCCCTTAAGTACTGTTTCCAACATCAATGGGGGCAAGACTACTTGTTTACTTTTCACAGAGTAGCTAATTCGGAAGGCTTTACGTTTTTGAGTACCTTGCTAAACTTTGTCGCCGATTGGCTCTCGATGGATGCTGTGGTGTTTTCCTTCCAGTCATATGTAGGATGCTGGTGGGGGAGGATTCAGTGGATCATCGATATCGGCCCATTACCATGTGTAAGAATTTTCGATATGATTTCGTAGCGTTATTTGGCAGAGTTACAATGTGACGGACGCGGAACGAAACGCAGTCACTCGACGAGCGCGCTAGTTAGACTGCACTGTTGTGGCAGCTTTGAAATGAATAGCTGCGCGACAGTAGGGTTTTTTCTGTCGTGATCAGGTATAAAGAAAGTTCTGGAGAAGCACACCGCCGTCGCGAACCGAAATCATAAACTGGCACATCGTCGCGTTATGCTTCAAAGCAGCCATTAATAGTGCGGTTCTTGTGCATTCGTTGCTTGATGTATTGGTGTATGCATTGTTGCTACGATATTGAGCGCTAAACCATTGCTCTATCATCGCTCGTTTTACTACCTTGGTAGGCCTTTCAATGCTGGAGTTTTGCGCTTTCGACGATTTGAAGTTCAATTCACAAAAAAATCACCTGCAGCAAACACAGTAGCATCTGCATCCTACATTTTTTTTATAATGCGGCAATCGAAGCTTTTTCGGAACGAGTGGGAGATCATTTTCGAGACCAGCCTCTCACTTTGCAAAGCGTAACAACTGAAGAGAACAACTGTTGCTTCCACAATTGACACTGTTCGGTGGAACTGATTCACTTGACTACCTATTGTCGGTTTCAGCCACGCTCCATGGTGTCCCGCTTGCAAGGATCTGCAAAAAGCGTGGAACGCATTTGCTGATTGGTCAAGAGATCTCAATATCAAAGTAAGTTTTTTTTAATATCATCTTATGGTATTTTTGAATCAAAATGTGATATGAAGTACTTGGCGTTGTTATTTGTTTCAAGATGCGTCACACATACCTCCATTGAGAGCGGTAATGACATTTATATACAATTCGGGCCGCGCGATAACTTGAGAGGAGTGAGGGCGTCTGTATTGAGTTTGATTGTAGATGGGCAGTTTCTCACTGTTCAGCCCATAGATAAGCTGGATAGTGCGATATTTATCTGGGAGACTGGAAGGTTCAAGATGGAAAGCTTGATTGGTCCGGGCAGAATTCGAATCACAGTGGTATCCCCGGCCAGTGGGCATGGTACGCGGCGGATATTGTCACAAAACTCCCACTTCTGCATCCCATTTTCAATATCAGTTTGGTGATTTCGTCGGCTCCCCCACTTTCTTCACGATTTAGGGCGCGGCCGCGGCGAGCGCGGCCGAGTCGATAGTGCCCGCGAAACTGTTTTTTTTTTGTTTTTTGTGTTTTCCTTTACGTGGTGGGTAAATTTGAAAACGCATCACCACCACAGTTCGCGGGCACTATCGACTCGTCCGCGCTCGCCGCGGCCGCGCCCCAAATCGTGAAGAAAGTGGGGGAGCCTCTAGCGAATGGAATGTTTCACAGAAAAGGCGGTGGTAACTTTGAGAGGAGTCAAGATGTTAGGGGCAATCCCGTCAAGTGTCATAATCAAAAAGTCGGTAGATATCTGTGTGAAAATTTCAGAGTGGAGGAGTTATGTCAGAAAATTTGTCTATTTCAAGTAATAAGTGTCTTTGCGATGATTTGATAACCGATTTCCTCAGTGGACATCCCACTATTGCTGCGATTGACGGTTAGAATAAAAACATATTCTTTTCAGGTGGGAGAGGTCGACGTAACTGTTAATCCTGGTCTATCTGGCCGCTTCTTGGTTACTGCTCTTCCCACAATATATCAGTAAGAAATACACTTGCTGGTGTTTGGTTGTGCCTAATGTCCATGTTTCAGTGTGAAGGACGGTGTCTTCCGCGTTTACTCGGGACCAAGAGACAAGAATGACTTTATTACCTTCATTGAAGACAAGCGATGGCGCAATATCGATCCTGTTCCTGACTATAAGCATCCTAACAGCAAGCAGTGAGTGATTTATCTTGCTTCAGGAAGCAGATGTCTAAGTTGAAGAAGTAATTCGGCTCCATCCAACCGTAACCGCGACTTAGTCGGAAGCTATATGCAAAAAGTGATAGGTTAGAAAGAACTCCAAACGGGTTTGAGAGGCCGAGTCGTGGTCATAATATTGTTGCACATGGTTTCTAATATGATTTCGATATTCTCAGTTTAATTCGGGTCTCATCCAGTAAGGGGGGGGGGGGGCATTGTGATGCAACGTCAAGTGGCTGCCCTCACCCCCACCCCCTAGACTGCCTTCACTCCCCCTGGCTCACGGGGTCCCGTACTTCGAGAAACCTGTGCGCCAGGGGGAGTGTAGGCAGTCTAGGGGGGTGGGGGTGAGGGCAGCCACTTGATGCCCCCCTTACTGGATGAGACCCTAATTCAGGATTTCTTTCTTAAAAAACAAGCAAATGGCCAACTAATTGTGAACATTTTTGCAAACAAAGTTTATAAATAATAATATTGTCAGAATGGCTGTCGTTGCCGTATTCTTCAAGCTGTCCATGGCAGTTCGTGACCTGCACAACCACCTTGTGGAGGATAAAGGCGTACCCTCATGGGCATCATATTCTCTGTTTGCCGGTGTCACTCTTGCTCTTGGATGCATTCTTGGCTTCGTGAGTGATTCCTAGTATTTGAGTTTTCCCTCTATTATCCTTCGGAAAAAGAGAATGTGATCAAGTCCGCCCGGCCAATTGAAGATGAGATGTGTACCGTTGCATTACGCCTTTGAGGCTGGATGTAGGCTGAGAACTGCTTCCCATATCTGCTAAAAGATACTCTGGGCGAAGTCAGTTTCTCAGGTTTCTTATCACGCTGTTTCACCTGCAATGATCTTATCTGCTTACAAGCTCTTCATACACACGATCCACACAGGGAGGGCTCTGCATGGGAGCGTTAATGATGTAGCTATCTAAAAAGTCTTTCTCACTATGCTGTTGATAGTTTATTGATAATGGACAAAAGATTCGAATTTGTCAAGAACTCGATCTTGCGACCACTCACCTGTAATCTCGAGCGCGGTACTTTTCTGCTTTAAAACTTCGGTTGAAGAACGGTTCAGACAGAGCTTTGCGCTGAACATCTCATGCAGCAGTATGCACATCGTTTTAGCTGAATTGACCTTCCCACTGCTTCTTCTTAAGTGGAGTGCTTCGCTGTAAGTCTTTATTTCAGTTCATTGTTCTGATTATTGATCAAGTTTTCCCCACTGGGAAGAAAAGTGTGGCTCAGCCGAAGAAGGAAACCAAGAAGGATTCGAATGGTGGAACAAAGAAAGGTTGTTTAAATTTCCTTCCGTTTCGCTCATTTTGTTCAACTGGTCGTCTGACTGTGTCAGTGTCTTGGGCGCTCATGTCGTTGGGGTTAGGGGGAGGTAAATTCAAGTGTGTGAGCCAATTACTGTGCTTAGGGCTAAGCCTTAAGGAGGGAGAGGGATTCTGGGGAGGACATGAGCAACCTATGTTCTCCCTGGCTTCTGCCCTCTTCTGGGCCTAGTCTTGATGTCACGTACCATCGGTCCTGTTTTGAATGTCCCCCGAAGGGAGACATGAGCACCATATTTTGTTCGGTTAATGGCAAAATAATTATTTGGACTCGTCCCACAATTTACCAACCAGATTTCGTCGGTCAAATATATTTGTTGTTCAAATATATCCCGACGAAATCTGGTCGGTAAAGTCGAAGATAGTGTTCAGAACTTGTTCCCAAGAGTTTTTAATATGAGTATTTGCAGCGGAAGACGCGAAGAAGAAAGAGAACAGCTCACCGAAGCCAGAAACGAAAAAGTCCAAGTAAGCTTGACACTGTGGTCGTTCAAAGAATATTGTTCAGAATCTGTTTTGAGCCTTTCAATGTTTGCTTTCTTGACCTGTTTCTCTGCATAATTTTACAAAGCTGATTTGGTATAATTTTAATGTTTCTATCTCTCTTCTCCCTCGCTTAAGTCACTTATCGCTATGGGTTCTTTGATATGTAGCCTTGCCCAACGTTGAATTGGAACTGTTCCATTTCCTGCCAATATGGTGAAGGTTTATCTGTGAAACTACTGTATTGCGAAACATGCGGAGCCATTAATGGCGAGCTCGGCCGGATCGATGGCCTCGCGTCACTCAGAGCCGCATTCCCTGTTCCTTTCGACGTTCTCTTTTGAATGTCTCCTGCCATCAAATGAATTCTTGCATTTCACACAATCTCGTTTCAAATTCCTGTCTTTTCGTTGTGTTTGTTACGAGTTCTAAAGTATTAAGAAATATTTATTGTTTTATTTGCTACAATGTGGATTTATGCGTACAAGGTTTGTCGTCTATATATGAGCACCTTTCGTAATAAACGCATTCGTTGTCGTTTGAAAGTTGCTGCAGATATGGTTGTACTCCATGTCTCCATCTGTGATGTTGTCCATCAGTCTAATTATAGAGGTGTAGTTGAGTGCATGCCGATTATTGTGACAAGTTGCAGGTTTGATTTTTACTGTTGCCTAGCATGTTGCATGGCTTGATATGGACTCACCGGGGTCGTCGATGTCATCGACGTGGGATGCTTTGGCTCAAAATAAAAGGCACTGAGTGTATTTGAGGTATGCTAAGAGAGCTATTTGAAGTAAAAAAGTAAGCGAAGACTGTTAAAACATGTGACTTCACTGATATTATAGAAAGGGCTATGGTATCAGATTCAGCGGCAGGATCAGCAGCCCGATATTGTATCGTCTGATCGTTTTTTTGGTTCGAAAACCCGCAAGCCTGGATATGGAGTGAGCCGAATTCGCTCCACTTCTCAGTTTGCATGAGGTGCTCCTCATAAGTAGTGAAAATAGAAGGTAATGGAAGAAATGCCGTATATCTGTTCTCTTGATTAGGCGACTTCTCGACTTCCATCTCTCAGCGAATGCTCTGATTGCAGCGATCGTTCAAGTGTAACTGCGAATTTGGATCAAAAATCCTTAGTCTCGGTACAAATAGGGCGTAATCATGGTTTCATTTTGCTTTAGGAGGGGTTGGCAAGCTGGAAGTGGGTGATGGCTGCGATCTTCATTGCGGTGGGAGTCGCTTTTAGCTGTAGTCAGTAGAATTGCAAGTACTCGACTGGTGTTGTAAGAGGGGGGGGGGGGAGCGATGGCTCTTGCAAGGTACTCGCAGCTGGTTTGGCTAGCATGCCAGTAGAACTGCGATCAGTGTCACAGGGTCTCTGAGCTGCACTGTTCATAACGTCCGCTGTAAAAGAGTTCGAAGGGTTTCATATCAATAGCACTCGAGTGTAATGTACACTGGAAATTTATGACATAAAGCTCTAAAAACTTCTGTTGACAGGCTCTTCGGTTCGCTATGAATTTTCAAGCACCCTGCAATTTCACTGTTTTGTCTAGCTATGAAGCTGCGGTCTAGTCGGTGTATTCTTTTATGTACCACATCGAGTGCAATGAATTTTCGCAACTTATTTTATCTTTCGGGCTGTTTGGTTTGTGCCGTCCTCCACCTCTCCGTTTAATGGGACGGTTCATGTTTTTCGATTTTCACTCTCGTTGAGTGAATTCTGAAATCTAGTGCTGTGCAGATTAAGCGTAGAGCCGGTACTAGAGCACAACAACATTTCATAGATCGAGGATCAGCAGTTTAGCAATGCATAACATGCCTGGTACTCGTTAACGCGACCGAGATAAGCAAGGTTCGAGATCTATGGTCTTCATTGCGTGTTGGTAGACTTAGCGTGTCTCCGAAAAGTCTGCTTTGAACAAATTCCTGACGTAGCCCATGAATCATGCTATGCAAGATTGTATGCTTTTTGAGTTCTGCTTCGCCGATCTCGATAATCAATACGCCTTTAGCAAAGTCGAAAAGGTGAAATTTTGGAGTTTGGAGAGCCTTGTTTAGTCTCTTTTAACACTGAAAGGCTCTGTTGACGAACGATTAGCAAAATAGCAAAAACCCACTTACTGAACGCAAGAGCTCCTTGAATCCGTAATTGAATTCACGAAAACGCTGTGGTTTTTCAGCTTAGAGCCATTGAATGAGGGTTGGTAAGACGCGGTCCGTTAAGGGAGCGAGTCATATTGCTCGGGAAGGGTGCGGTTTTCGGAATGAATTGAATAGCCTTACAAATAAGCTTTTCCAGAGGAACTTATTCCGTCGTGGGTGGTCCGCCAATGATTTTGAGGAATGTTTCACGCGTTCTGATGTCCATATTGTATTGGTATGTTCAGCAAAAAGGCGTGCTCTCCATGATATTTCGAACTGCATTTCAATATATGTTATTGGTTTGGTTTCGTTTTTTTTCATTCAAAATTTATAGCGAAGAACTGAAGGCAAATCAGAATTGTGCTCCATTGTTCATACTGTATCCGCAACTTATGGCGCTATAGCGATTGTGCTGAAATATGTATGCGCATGTAGATTAGCTCAAATCGTATCGATTGCGAATCACTGGAGTGTTCACTACTGGTGAAACTGCTCAAGTTGTAGTCTTACCCAACAAGATATGCGTGGTATCTGGTTTGCGTTCACTGTTAGAAGTGCGTTAGTACTAGTCTAAAAACCCCTTCGTACTGATGTCTTCGTTCCGTCGTTGTCATCTTTGAATCACGCATATTTTCGTTTGTTTACATCTGCAAGTGGCAGCGTAGCGAGTTGGTGAATGTTTAATAACAACGTTAAGATCTTTGAAACGAGTTGCTACGACCGGATCGCGTGCATGTCTCGCATCCAGCAATAGCAATAAACCGAAGTGGTGTGGTAAAAGGTGTTTAATGTTTGATCGTCTACAATTTGCTTGATAGACTTGTTAGTTCTCGTAGGCAGGTATCAGGCTTTACAATTTTAGAGGCAGCACCCGTGTGCCAACGCCGACTTGTACAAGAGGCGGGATAGCTGGGGTTGCTAGAATCGCAAAGCAGTACCCCACGACCGTGCATACACTGGCTTTGGAAGACCTGTTCCCCAACCCTGACTGAAACCTCTGACTCTAACATTGCCCACCCCAGCGTCGGTTTGGGGTTGAGCTAGGGTAGGGTCAAGCTGGCTGGGAGGATAATATACGTGCATAACTCGGATCTGGGCCCTACAATAAATTGCGAGCTGTATATGCCAAGTCTCTTTTCAGTTCTGAATGTAATTTCAGCACATGGTACATCCCACAATGGTGCATGCTTTAATATATAGTTAGTAGCTTAGTAAATATCGCACTTCATCATCGATGAATACTTAATTGCATGCACTATTTTAACCCTCTTGCCTGGATTTGAGCATGCAGCCTGCTTCAATGTTATTTTTCTGCCTACAAACCCATGTGTAAATTATCAAATTTTTTCGTATAATGTATGCTATACGAAGTTATTACGCAGTTTGATTAGTAGTATTTGTACTAATCTCTCAGTTGTTCTTGATGTAAGCACGTCACTAGGCTTTTCCAAAATGCAAGATCTGCCAATTCAGCAATGGACCCAATATTAATTACCAGTTCCTTTTCTGGTTTATCTTTTTTTTTACGCAATTTCCACTATCAGTTGTGGCCTTCCTGATATCTTTTTCACGATGTAAATGTTTCACAGGCCAAAAATCATTACGACTTCATGTTCATTTCCAGGGGAGATTGCAATGGCAAAAGCTGTGTGGCAGGCACTCGAGTCCAACCCGGACGCAATAAATCCGGTAATCACACTTCAAATTGTGATTACGATTTTTGAGACCTCTCACTAATTCTCTTTAAGTTCATGGCCAAAATTGGCGTTGAAAGCGTGGAATGTGTGGACATAATTTCATTCGATGATGATGCACTGGAGCACTTGCCAAAGCCTCAGTACGCTGTACTTCTCTGTCTTCCTGACTACAAAAAGGTTAGATTTCTCGATTGTATGTACAGCTATTCGTGCTGCTTTCTATTCTTGTGCAATTCGATGATATCTTTCTAATTTTGCTATACTCAACATCAATCCTAAGGCCGATGTCATAGTTTGCGAATCGAGCGATTCGCTAGCGAAAGTGAAGTGTCTCGTGACAGTGGACGCTGTTTGAAAGTGGCGGGACTTTGCAGTGGACACTGTTTGAAAGTGGCGGGCTTCCAACGTTGGGTCCCGCCACTATTGAGTCGCTGGTACCTAGTTCGACTCGCTGGTGCAAAGTTCGATTCGCTGGTGCAACGTTCGATTCGCTGGCGCAACGCTCGGATCCAGCGATTCGCTAGCGAATCGCTCGATTCGCAAACTATGACATCGGCCTAAAAGCGATCCTTGTGGTCTTGCCTACTTGCATAAAACTGAAATAAAAGCAGGAAGGCATTAACCTACACTCTGAGGCGAGAACGATAGGCGCTCACAGATCCTCTTACACCACCAGGAACTTCGCGCTTCAGCCTTGCCATCAACACCCGAAATGAGAAGCATTGGAATACGATGAAAAGCGGCTAACTGGAAAGCAATTCAATAAGGGGCACTGACTTAATCGCTAGTGAGCATTGAAATAACGCCAAGACCCCTAACGGTCTGATTAATATCTGCCTTTTTAGGTAGACGAACTGATGGCTCCAATTTACGAGAAGCTCCGCTCTGAAAGCGTCACTCCTCCTCCCAATGTGTTTTTCATGGAACAGAAGATTAGCAATGCTTGCGGCACATTTGCTTTATTCCACGCATTGGCGAATATTGAAGATCAAGTCGATCTTGGTATGACGGTTCATTTTCATCTCCCTCCCCACTCAACTTCTTCCAACGTTTTTTGTATTCCCGACTGTTGTTCAGGTTCTGGTTCATTCCACAAATGGCTGGAGGCGGCAAAGAGCTTAGGAATCGATCAGCGTTCGGATCTTCTAGCCAACGGTCAGCAAATCCATGAGAATTTTTTCATAAAGCCGCAGCAGCAATAAGTATGCTATGTGAATGTGGGAGCAGTACCTACTGGAAACCGGGCCTGTGTTTACTGTTGAGCGTTCTCTCGCCTCACAAGCATCATAACTAGAGCTGGTTCCTACTGCTATGCTGCGTTACTTTCATTTTCTAGTTCCGTTTTTGTTATTTACCTTTACCTAGTTCCGTTTTTGTTATTTACCTTTACCAGTAACACAGACGAACTATCGACGTTAGGCTTCCAGTGGGCCAGGTCCGCATCTTGACGCAGCAGTGCGCTAGCGCAGTGTGTGAATTTTGAGAAAGGATCATAAAATAAGCAACTTGGCTGCACACATTTAGCATGTGATCACAAAAGCTTTCGTAGTGGGCACCTACCCAGTGCTCTCGCTTTGCGACTACGCCTTGAATACAACATCGCGCCGTGGGGTTTAGACGGGTACTTTTTGTTCTGACTATGAGTTACCACTACAGACTAACCACAATATTTTTCTCAGTGTTGTTGACTATTTATGACATGGTGTTACATTCAGTACCTTTATAGGAGTCTTGCAGGTAGTGTAGTGATGTGGTCACCAGGTACAATCTACGGGAAATATTGTTTCACTCTTGGCTGATCTTTTCCAACTTCGTAGATTGATATTCACTCAAAAGTTATTTTTAGACGCTTCTCTGGCTGCTGCTCACGATGAAGCGGCCAGACGTGGTGATTCGCGTCAACCTGAAGAGGTCGAGCACCACTTTATCTGTTATGTGAATAAGGACGGAACACTTTTTGAAATAGGTGGATCTCTAATAATAATATTTGAATGAGCTTGATTCTGTGACCTTTTGAGTCATCTCCCAATGATTCGTTTAGATTCACGTGCACCGTTCCCACGTGCATTGGGTGCAACTTCTGGTGATACGCTCGTGAAGGACGCTGGAGTTGCGTGCAAGGAGCTCATGGAAAAAGCTTGACAATGTGTCGTTCGCAGCTATGGCCCTTGTCCCGAAGAAGTGAATCTACGAACGAAGATCGCTTGCCCGCTATTCCAGCATTTGCTCTTGCTTTCTTCTCATTGCTCCGGCTTTTTGATCATGAAGTGCTGCCGCTTTTCCGTACTGTAAATCCATTTGAAATTTTTTAGTCATTTAGTCGTTTTTGTTACTGCACTGTTACTGCATCTTTCTAGCTTTACATTCCTCTGTCTGTGATTTTGTTCCAATCGGTTTTTTCATTGCGGTGTCTTTTCTACGGCTTCAATAAAATGCTTTGAACCTTCCTATGAAACATTCTTTTAACGTTTATTTGGACATATTACCTGCATGTTGCTCTAATTTGGCAGTCAACACCATCCGCTGTTCTCAGAAAGTGAATTACAATGGCTACAGCTCAGTGGCATGCCCTCGAATCCAATCCAGATACAATCAATACGGTTCGTGCATTTTGTCCAATAGTAATTGTCAGTTCTCCAGCTGAAGGTGATTGATCAACCTTTTGAGAGCTAAGTCTTTACGCGGACATTCGCGAAAGGGCTTTTGTAGAAAAGTAGCGTGGCGTTCCGTGCAGCAAAATGTCGCGAATAGACCCGCTCCGCGCTTATCGTCACCTTGATTGCTTTCGTATACGTTCGATTATGATCGCGGACCGCTTTTGTCTTTCGAATCGTCAAATCCGCACTTGCTCAAATATCGAAATATCGAAATAGTGCGTACTTCGGTGTACATTTCGGGGACTTCTGAGTTGTGAAGACAGCACTTGATAGCGGTAACACTTTCAAGCTTCATAAAAGGAGGGGTTTGCGTGAGAAACAGCGCTGTTTAAAAAAAAGGTGGATGAAGAGTAGGAGCATTGACGCTGTCATTAATGGGCTGAAGCGGTTTGGCGTACAACTTGCGTCTTCACCTTCTTCCACTGATCCGTAATGTTGGTAGCGTCGTCAAATCTGGTCCCACTTGACATACTCCAAAACACCCACCTTCCCACTCCCGAAATTCTTGCAGGATTGTGGCAAGGAGCGTGACTGCTGAACTGAAACAGCGAAACAGCAGATTCACGTTTTACGCCGTCATTTTATTTTCAGGCCTGTTCGCCGGTCCCCATCTACACACTCCCTCTAAAATGCGGAGCGGTTTTGCTAACGTCATTAGGACTCACTCGTGTGAGGAAGTTGAGAGGCGTTCTCAACTGGACCAGTAGCGCACTGAATGGTTTGCAACGGAGCGCACGCTGCTGCGCTCAGTAGGGTTTCAGCGTTATGAAAACAACAATAGGAATTTGACTTGTTTTGTTTGTTAACTGCTGTTTTAACGCCGCAGTTCGCGTTGCGAATGTTTGAATGCGGGTTCTAGTCCCGCCTGGGGCGAAAGTTTTGTTCACAAACAATAGGAATGTTTTTTATTCTTACTAGCTTGACTCTACTTTTCTTCTAGCTTCCAGGCTATTCTCCACACCCTGCCCCCCCCTCTATGAGCCCCGCTTTTTATGAGCATTTGAGCTTTTTTTGCTACCATCCTTTTTCTGATGTGCGCTCCCCTCATTGTGAGCGGGACTCCGCTTATCTTAGTCAATGCTCGTATTCACCAATTTTCCATCTTATGGTTGGAGCGGAATCAGCCTGGTAAGTACCATCGCTCATCTAGAGGAGGAAGTCTCACCCAGTGTGGGCGGATCTCGTTCATTTCACGCAATCCGCTGCTCATTTTATCCACTTTCCCGTATTCTGGCTGTTCTTCAAACGCATCAGGATTTTCTACCGGCTCATTTTTGTGCAGCTATGCTGCGAATCATCTCTCATGAGGAGCGATTCACACGTGCCCTCCGTGAGTTTAGCCCATGCTTCACCCATCCCAAGCTCAACGTGACATTTCCATGTTACGCCTAATTTCTAGACTGTCCTATATAGGCCTTCTCAAAAAGGCAATAATGTGACATAAAGAAATACTGTCTCAGAAATAGCAGTTCAAATTGAGATGTTGTAAATCTTTTTTCCACTTAAACATGGGAGTAACTGCAAGACTGTAAGGCTTAGTTGCCACCCGCGTGAACTAGAGCTTTGGAAACATCTGGTATGTTGTAATAATGGCACGCATCACTTCACCCTTTTCACGGACCGACATTATTTATCACCTGGAAGAAGAT